TGGTGTAGTAATGCAATGGCAATCTGCTCTGGTGCCCGAGGCTCTTACCATTACAAGGAAGCTATGAACACTACTTTCTTAGGAGGTGAGGCCAGCCCCACTTGAATTTCTCTTGGATCCCTCTGGTCCACCATGATTCATAAATACTTAGACTTTTTAATTTTCCTCAAATGAATCATTAGACGTTAAAAACAGAACAACAGAATCACAAGGGCCACATGCTTTTCAGTGTAAAGCATTCTCCTTCACTAGGGTGCTGTCACAGTGCAGAACTGACTGCCTGAATATGCTCAGGAGATTAGTCAATATTGTCTGTATTTGGTTATGGAAAAGGCTCTCCTTTTTTTTTTTTTTTTTTAAATCCAAAGTGCATAGTGAGAACAAATCAAAGCATTTTTTCTTCCAACATCAGTTTCATCTCAGCATCCTCCTGCTAGAGGACTGCTCAGATGCCTTGTCTTTGTTCATCCCACCCTCCAAAAATAAAAATAAAAATAAAATAAAAAATAAAAAGAGAGTCAAGCGATTTAGACATTCATCAGCCTGGTAAACAAACTTTGCCAGCAAATAGAAGTCCTACTATTGTAAAGAAAATTGATAAGACAAAAAGTACATATGATGACCCAACTACTGTGTTGTTGGGTAATTTATAAGGTTGACCTCCGACTTCATTGATGTAAAATCCTATTGGAAATATTAGGGCAGCCATACAGAAAAGGATCACTGTAAAACAAACCAAAACACAACATTAGTAACATGGTTTGGTGATTAAGAAAACAATGAAAATTTGGCTTAAAGGAAGTTTATAAGAAGGGGTTGTGGACTGATAATATGGTCAAACCTGTTAAAGCATGGGTCACTTGTCAAAAGATTTACATATATTATAGGTCACATTATATCCTCAGAAGCCTAATAATTAAATATAGTAAAGCTGAGTTAGCCTTTTATGGAAGTGTTAGAACGATTTTGAACACCAGCATTAAGAAGGGGCCTCACCAAACATCTCAGTACTCACATACACTATTTTTGACCACTTAAGAAGAGTGGCTAAGGAGTGCTGGTGGCGTAGCGGGTAAGGCATTGGGCTACTAACCAGAAGGTTGCTGGTTCAAACTCACCAGCTGCTCCAGAGGAGGAAGATGAGGCAATCTACTTCTGTAAAGATTTATAGCTTTGGAGATCCAATGGGGGTCGCTATGAGTTGGAATCAACTCAACAGCAGTGGGTTTGGTTTTTTGTTTTAAGAAGAGTGGCTAGAGTCAGAAGGGGATAAGTTCAGCTTTACTGCTCACTTAAGCAATCTTAAGCAAGCCTCTGATTTCCTTCTGAAAATGGGGAAAATATTAGAAGGATAAACAAAATGTCAAGTCCCTGGCTCCAAGTCAACAGTATGCTGAATAAATGTTTCCTATTATTAGAGGAGTTCTGTTGGTGCAGTGGTTAAGGCATTTGGCTGCTAAACAAAAAGATCAGCAGTTTGAACCCACCAGTTGCTCCACAGGAGAAAGATGAGGCAGTCTGCTTCGTAAAGATCGACAGCCTTGTAAACTCTACAGGGTGCTTAAACTCTACCCTATAGGTTCGCTATGAGTTGGAATCCACTCAAAGGCAGTGGGTTTGGTTTTTGGTTTGATTATTATCATCACTGTCATTATTCTGCCAGATTTTCTCTTCTCAGAAGGAACTAGAGAAGAGGTACAAGTGCTATTTATCTCATTCTGATTTAAAATCAGTTAGTGGACCTCTGGAATGATCAGCAAATTGTCAGAGTACTTATCTCTCACCATGGACAATGTTCTAAAAAAATTACATCTCAGTCAAGTTTCTAAAGACACAGGTTAAAGAGGGGGAAGGTGAGGAAATATTTTTAAAAAAAATTTTTTTTTTAGTTTTGCATACACACACACACTGAAATACATTATTTGCTAAAATGCTTCCAGAAATGGAAGGAAGGTTGGGCAATCTACTTCCATAGTGATACTGCCTTGGAAACACAAGGAAGGGTCACTATGAGTCGGGGTCGACTCGACGGCACATAACAACAACAGCTTCTAGAAAGACAGCAGAAAATGCTGAGTGTTGGTAGAAATAATTTCAAAGTACAATGTTTTAGCAAACAGTGTGCTCCTTTGTTCTTAGTGAACAAAAATTACCTAGAGATAACTGGCTTTTCCAAGAAAATATTTAATGCTTTTTGAAAGCATATTGGGCAAATGTTTACAGTTCTTCAAATGTCTTTGAAGGTAGAAACATTTCTTCAGTAAAATGTGAAGTAAAACAGAGATTACCACAGTCACTGTGTATGAAAAGTTGAAATTGTCCACTATTATCTGAATGAGAAACTTTTTCAAGTTAAACTTATTCCCAGGAATACTGACAGAGACCCAGACAAATGTATCAGCTGACATTTTTCTCTGGTGTTAATTAATCAACAAAATTTAATACAAGAACCCTTAAAAAGGCCAGTTAGGAATCCTTTCTAGAAGTGATAGCACCCGCAATGTATTAAAAAGTATATTTCAAAAAATAATACAGTATCTTAATAAAAACACTGGTACTCTTGTTTGTACCCTTTAGCAAATTATTTTATATTACACAAGCACAGACTCTTTCATTTGGGGCAAACCACCACACAAAATAATATTTCATAAGTGAACTTGGATTGTTCCAGACACCTGCTATAGAGCAAATGCAAACTTTAGGCATTAAGTTTGTGAACGTTTGGCCTTTTTGCTGTAGAGTGAACAATAAAGAACTTCATTAGTGCTGCCAATGTCCACTTAGTGTTATTTGTCATCAGCTTCTAATGGAGCTTCTGGCTTCATGTGGTCTGATTAGTAAAATGAAACCACCAAGTACGAAGCTATACAGAAATTAAAAAACAAAACAAAACAAAAAACAACAACCCAATAGGGCAAGGTTATTGTTGTAAAATATAATTTTTTTCTTTGTTGACTATTCTAATTTCAAGGAACACTAGAATAATGCAGTACAAAAGTGCTTTGGAGATACGCAGATATTAAAGCTGTTCATTCTGTCAATGAATGTGTATTATTCCTGTCCCTCCCTGTTTTGCACTGTAACATAAAAATATGCTCTTTAGAATGGTATAACCATTTAGCGACTACATTTAAAGTAGAACTGAATATTTATCATGCACTAAGTATTTTTCAATTTGGTTAGGAAAAGCTGAATCACATCTTAAGGAAGCAATGAACTCTTATTTAATCTAACCTTGGTTTTTAATTAAAAAAATTAGGCAGATTTAATGTAGGTACATGAGTTTTTCTTTTAAGCTACAGAGAAATGTGAAGTTACTTTAGATCTTAAAATATTAATAATGCTAACGATATCTCTCTCATCCTTTCCTTTGGACCCTAAGTAAGTTTATAAAGACACAACTTCATTCCCTTCATGGCACAGATTTCTTGGTGATAAAGTCAGAAATCAGATGCACTGGTGGACGAGGATGTAACTCAGGGTGGCCAAGAAAGGGCAAGGGTCAGACTTGAAGAGAACTCTGTTTCTTTGAGCCCTAGGCGAGCCCTACCGTGTGTGGTTCTCCTCTGAGAGCTATTTTCCCACTGTGTACACCCACCAGAAAAGACTACTAGAATATTTAACTAGAATAGAAATATTAATATAGGAAAAAAAAATCTGTTGACAAGTTGACTCTGACTCATAGCATCTCTATAGGGCAGAGAAGAACTGTCCCATAGGGTTTCCATGGCTGGAAATCCTTATGGAAGCAGAATGCCATGTCTTTCTCCCACGGAATGGGTGGTGGGTTCAAGCCACTGATTTTTTCAGTTGGCAGCAGAGCGCTGTAACCACTGTGCCACCAGCGTCTCAGAATAGAAATCTATATGCACTAAAGCACATTTTAATGGGCTGAATGGAAACCCGAGGGGAGCACAGTCACCTGCAGACTCCCACCCAGGCAACCAGCTCTGCTGACAGCAGGGCATCTAAGGGAGCTGGAAAAAGGAGGGCAGCTCCATGCTCTGTACTTGAAATTAACTCCAAGATAGCTGCTAAATTAAAAGATCAAGGAACAGAATAGTGCCATATACATTCATAGAATACACACACATATGCACTACACATGTATGTTTCTATACACAGAACACCTCTGGTAGCAAACCCCAGAAACTGGTCAACAATGGTTGCCTCAAGGAAAGGGTTATTACTGGATGGCTGGGTGATGGGCTACAGGTGAGACTTCCTTTTCATTTGGTTACTTTTTGATAAGTTTTAAATTACTTATCATATATATATATATTATCTTTATTTTAAATACATATATAAATATAAAACTAAAATATAAGAAAAGGAAAGAGACATTACATTTGGAGTAACTACACAAACACACTAGGGGCATTGGAAGGGCAATGGGAAAAAGAAGAGAACTCTGGTTTTCCCCTTTATCGCTTCACAAGAACCAATGGCTAATGTGAGCATCTCAGTGCTTTCTTTGACTCATACTATTCTGTTAAATCCCAATTTAGATCTTAGTATTCAGGATGTACGCATCCTCAAATTTCAACTAAATTGTTTCTTGTTGACTTTATTGTACTCCATGAAGAGTGAATTCTACCTGCGTAAAGTGACTGTTCTGTGATTAAGAGAGCGAGCAGACTCTCTCAAACTCCCTGGCAATCCCTTTAGTTTAGCAGCACTCTCTCTCTACAACGGCCTCTACACTCTTCTTTCCAGCGAAGAGCTGGCTCAGAGGTTGGCTTGACAGGAAAGATCACCAACCTGTTTCATGCTGATAAGAAAGGCAGAGAATTTTTTTTTGTTCTCAATTTTTAAATTAAGAAGGAAACAGAGACAAAAATATAAAAACCTAGCCAGAAACATAAACGTTAAGAGAAACAGTTTCAAAGAAAGATAGGAAGAAACAGAGCCTCAAGGGCCTTTAAGGATAAACTGAGTTTTAACATTAATCAGGATACACGAGACCATTCTTCACCTTCATGACACTGGTTCTAAATGAACATATCAAGTGAAAGTTAGCTGTGCTATAATATTCATTTAAAAAACAAACAAACTAATGCAAACCAGCCATGATTTAAGGCACTGACTGCACTAAATCCTCTGGTACTTTGCATGGTTGTTGTCCCCGCTTCTCCAGAGCAGGGCTTCCCGACAGAGTCCTACCACCACTACTGGACCACCAGGTCAGATAACTCTGTTGTGGAGGGCTGCCCTGTGCACTGAAGGGTCATCAGAAATGTCTCCAGACTTTGCCACAAGTTCCCTGGGAGGGCAAAACTGCCCTCTAAGAGAAAAAGAAGCAAGAAAGTAGAATGACAGAAATACTTTTTCTTGTGCACTTTGTTTCTCTGGTTTAATTTGAGATAAGCCTGTGGTGTGTTTTGAAATTGAACCAATTTTGCAAAGTATAAGAGCATGTTTAACATATATATAGCATATACCTTTGGCATAGCATAACAGAATAAGAAATATTGGTAAGAAATTATTAAATAACCAAATTATTGATTTTTCATGGTCACATAACAGGTCAGAGTAGAAACTCAAAAGCAATGATATTAAAAGTAAATCATCACCTTCATTAAATTTCTATTTTTGTTATCATTTCTTCTAGACTTATCTTTATTGGATAGAAGATACCAGTACCTACAGGCCAGTGGTAGTTTTAAGTCACAAACCTGGAACACTTATGTCACAATGTGAGCAAAAATGAAATTCAATAAAATAGTATTTCATACAAAGTGATTAAGGTTTTGGATGTCCTGGTCTCATATTGAGCATTCTGAAGAACTGGTTGGACAGTGTAAGTCTATTTCAAGGGCAGACACCATTTGCGCTCTCTGATGGTTACGGAGTCCTTATTACTGGTTCTTGATCATCTTCATACAGACACCAGTGTGCATGCCTTCTAGACAACCTTGGTAAGCACGGGTTACTTACTTCCAGTGAACGCTATCCATCGAGCATATTTTGTAGCTTCTCTTCGCCAGTGGGAAGCTACCAGCAAAGCACATGTGACAGTCAATGAAATGATTCCCATGATGATAAAAAATAGTGTGGTCACCCACTCCGGGGGGAGCCGGGGAGGAATGCACGTCCGGTCGCGTCCATGGATTGTTTGACACTGTCGCACAAGGCCCACAGTGAGTGCTCCTGGGGAGATGCAAAAGGTGGGAATACTTTAGTGGGTTTGGCATAACCAGGGGAATATACCCTACCACCACCTCAAATCTGATTTCTCTCTGCATGAGTCATTCAAGCATTTAATTCCACTGAGTCCCACTTTCACAGCATTCTGCTGTAGTTCACAGTGTAGTAACACATCACTCAACATACAGAGGGAACTAAAAACAAAAACCAAAACCCATAGGTCCCAAGAACAACTGCCTCCTTTGCTGTGAAACCCGAAGAACTGGATGGTGCCCAGCTATCATTACTGAACATTTTCACAGAGGAGCTATAAAACCATCCTGATCAAAAGGGAAAAATGCAGAACAAAATTTCAAATTCTCATAGAATCCTGACTTTATGGTGCCAAACTATTGCCCTGAGATAATCTTTAAACCTTAAACCAAAAATATGCCCTGAAGTAGTCATCTTCTAGTGACCCCATGTGACAGAGCAGAACTGCCCCACAGGGGCCTGAAGCGTTCTTAAAACCAAACAGCAGAGCAGCTAACCTAGTGAAGGACATCTGCCTGGAGCTTTATGCTCTTTTAGGAACTGTCTGTATGAGATCAAACTGACAACAGCAACCCAAAAGATTAGACAGGAAACTTAGGGGCAGTGAGCTTATGTTAATGGAGGAGGAACAATTCAGAAAGGAGGCTGAGAATGGCTGCATGACTCGGAGAACGTCATCAGTGGCACTGAGGTGTACACGTAGAAACCACTGAATTGGTGAATGATTTGCTGTGTAAGTTCTCAGCAACATCAACAACAAAGATATATTTTTTAAGAAACCAAAAACAGAAACAAAACAACTCACTAAGCCACAGTAAAAGGAGGTTTGGTTAGTCAATCATTAAAAAAACATTTTGTTCAGTGATTGTGTCAGGCACTGTTCCAGGCTCCCAGTAGTAACACTGAACAAGGTAGATGAGCCTCTTGCCCTCACTGAGCTTGTGTACTAGCAGAAAACCTTGGAACTTTTCTAGTTCTAAATCCATGCCTCATTGCATATTACCTTATTTTGGCTGTGGAGAAAAACAGTTTTCAGGAAAAGTCACAATTGAAGACAAACTTGAAATATGCCTAACTATAATATATAAATTATACAATCAACTAAACACCAGAAGGACTATATTTTATTAAAGTTAAAATGCTTAAGAATACTGTAAGTATTTTTCCATTAAATTCAAGAAAATATGTTGGAAAAACTACTGTGTCTCCCTTCCCCACATGTGGAAAATTCAATTATTTTTGTACAGTCTAGAAGTGTATCTTGCCAAGTCATTACTAGCGTGTTCAGCAGAAAAGCACAAGGCACTAAGCGTAATTTAAAAACTGTTCTCCTCCAACGGTTGTCTCCTCCCATAGTCGTAGGGGACATGAAGCTCAATAGGTATAACACACTACACAAAAACACTGTTCAATGTCCTACTTCGGAGAGTAGTGACTGGGATCCTAAGAGTTTGCAAGTGGCCATTTAGATGCAGTGATGGCTTTATCCTCATCCAGAGCAAAGAAGAATGAAGAAAACCAAAGACACATGGAAACAATCATTCCAAGGGACTGGTACTCCATGTGATCCTCAGCCTGAATGACCATGAGACCAGAAGAACCAGATGGTGGCTACTACTGTCAACCACTCAGAGAAGGATAAGTGCTGGAGATCCTGGATAGAGTGAAAACAATGTGGAACAAAACTCAAAATGGTAAGAAAAAGACCAGGTTTGCTGGTCTCATAGAGTCTGGTGAGACCCCTGAGACGATGGCCCCTAATTATCCTTTAGGTCTGGAATTGAACTCACTCCTATGGCTTCCAGCCAAACAGACAGGCATATGGGGTAAGCATTTACATCATGTAGATACACACCTCGGAGCAATCAATCATGGGAGAACAGAAGGGCAGTGTTTGCCCAGGGAGACAGTTTGGGGGGCAGGAGTGCATGGGAGAGGACACAGGGAAGAGGATAACTATGGGGAAGAAATGGGAAGAGAGCTGTTACATTGTGGGGAATTGTAGACAATGTTAAGCAACAAAATGTGTGTGAACTGCTATATGGAAAATGAATTTGCTCTGTAAACTCACCCAAATCACAATAAAAATTTAAAAAAATAAAAAGTGTCCATCCATTTAAATAAAAGGAAACAGATTTGTTATATATGAAGTGCTAATTTTCCATATGTTTTCATGTCATACCCAAGGACATCCTTTATCAATTTAGAGTAATTTATAGAAACTTAGATTAGGAAAGTTAAAAAGTAATTATGTTTTCCTTTTTTCCTACTAACAAGAATGATTAAAGTAGTGGCTGCTAACCAAAGGGTCAGAGGCTTAAACCCACCAGCTGCTCCACAGGAGAAAGATGAGGTGTCTGCTTCGTACAGATTTACAGCGTTGGAAACCCTATGGGGCAGCTCTATTTGTCCCTTAGGGTTGCTATGAGTTGGAATCAACTGGATAGCAATGGGTTTGTTTTTTAGTTTTGGTCTGAATGAAAACTGCTTTCCCCCCCTTGTAAGACCAACTGCAAATGGTAAAACAAGACAAAAAGTTACATAAAAAATTTCTGGAGCCAGCTTAAACTATAATAGATTTCTGTATTTTTTTGGGGGTCTTATTATTTTCTCAATTGGACATAAATTTAAAAAGAAAAAAGACATTAACCTCAGAACCATAGCACCTGAACACTTGCTTTCTTTGAGGACAGTTAATAAATTCCTAGAGGTGTTCTGGGAAACTGCCTTGGTGGAAGAAGCCAGCCCATGGCTGGGTATGTATGCATATATGTATGGGTGGGAACATTGGAAGGAGGATGCTTCCCAGTAACTTGGGTTTTACCACAGATTCATTTTTTAGAAATAATGCAATTAATTGGAAAAAAATGAAGTGATAAAACAGTCTGATCTCAAAATTGAGTTTTAATCGTGTTTTCTGCCCCCAACGAATGGCTGGGGACCACAAAAGCGGCAGCATCGAGGTAAGGGACGGGAGGCAGGCAGGCCCCAGCCCCCTAGAGCCAGGAAAGGGGAGGGAAGAGAGGTTTCCAACAGCTAAGGGAGACAACCTTATCGGTCAGTGTGTCATCCTGTATGGAGTGCATGTTGCTGTGAGGTTTGAGGCTATGCCACCAGTGTTTCAAAGGCCAGCAGGGTTGCACACGGTACACAGGTTTCAACGCAGCTTACAGACTGAGACAGTCTGTAAGAAGGAAGAGGCCATCCACTTCTCAAAAAATTGGCCAGGGAAACCTTATGAATAGCAGAGAAACACTGTCTGATACATTACTGGGCAACTTCATGAATAGCTTGGAAACAATGTCTGACACAGTGCAGGAAGACAAACCCCTTGGGTCGGAAGGCACTCAAAATAGGATTGGGAAAAAGCTGCCTCATCAGAGTAGAACCAACCTTAATGACATGGATAAAGTCAAGCTTTTGGGACCTCCATTTGCTGACATGGCATGACTCAAATTGAGGAGAAACAGCTGCAAACACCCGTTAATAATCAGAACATGGAATGTATGAAGTGTGAATCTAGGAAAATTGGAAGTTGTCAAAAATGAAATGGAACACATAGAGACTCATATCCTGGGCATTAGTGAGCTGAAATTGACTGGTTTTGGCCATTTTGAATCAGACGACCATATGATCTACTACGCCAGGAATGACAATTTGAAGAGGAATGGCATGGCATTCATCATCACAAGGGATGTTTCAAGATATGACTTGAAGTACAATGCCGTCAGTGATAGGATAATATCCATATGCCTACAAAGAAGACCCGTTAATACTACTATTATTCAAATTTATGCACCAACCACCAAAGCTAAAGATGAGGAAACTGAAGATTTTTATCAACTTGTGCAGTCTGAAATTGACCAAACATGCAGTAAAGATGTGTTGATTATCACTGGTGATTGGAATGCAAAAGTTGAAAACAAAGAAGAATCTCCAGTAGTGGGAAAATTTGGTCTTGGTGACAGAAATAATGCTGGAGATCGCATGACAGAATTTTGCAAGACCAATGACTTATTCATTGCAAATAACTTTTTTCAACAACACAAGTGGTGGCTATATACGC